CGGTAATCTCGCGTCTCTCTCCCAGTCCTCAAATAGGCATCGTCGCGCACCCTTCTCACCCCTCCCCACCGTGTCTCTCCTCAGACACGTCACGCGCGCGCACCCTGTCAATCACCACCAAACCACCACCTCTCCTGACAGCTTAGCGCAAAATAAACCCTGACACTCTGACCAATGTGAGGAGAGTTTACTCGCACGTGACATGTTTTAGCTCTTTTGGTCCGATTAGAAACTTTGCAGTGTGAAAGCGAACCGCTCCAAGAGCAAAGAGCAACAATGTAACATTTGTAATCTCTGTTTCGGAACAACTGAATCGATTCACAGGTGTAAAAGCACCCTAAGAATACTGCTAATTTATGTTTTTATTTAGTTTATACATACGCAATGAATGTAAGCCTGCCAACTGTGTGTGGTTCAAATGATAGAATATGTAAACTTAGTTTATATATAGGCTAATTAATAATAAATAAAAGCCTGCGTGTAAGGCTTTTATTTTGAGGGCGAACGTAAAAATGGGCGTTTCAGCACCGTCTACATGTGTAAAATTAATTTTAAAGTCGCTTATCCGTTTTCCTACCCTAAACCAAAAAAATGAAAATCCAGCCATAATTTCGTTTTTTCGTTTTCTCGTGAGCAAAAGAAAATGGGAAAACGGCCGTTTTCTCCATTTCCTTTATTCCATTTGAAAATGGAAAACAAATTAACAAAACGTACACGGACCATACACTGACCGTTTTTGTTTTCTGGTGATTTTATTTTTTGCTATTCAAAATAAAAAATCTAATCATTTTTGAATTTTGTTTTTTCGTTTTTCACCACGAAAAAGAAAAATGAGCCGTTTTTTCATTTTCGTTTTAAAAACGCCAGAAGGTTATGAGTAGGCCCACATAAAATCTGTGTGCACAGAAATCCGCAGAATTTTAGCCCATCATTGAGTCTATTTATTTACTTGTATAAATGTGTGTACATTTATTTATTTTTTCAGTTTTTTTAATTAATTTCAGTAATATTATTAACTAATATGAAAATGTTTATTTAATTTATCTACAATACAGTGTGTAAAGTAATATTTTCTGTCTTTTAGTAGAGATATTATAGAAGAGACTTGCTTTGTTTACCAAACAAGTGGATCTAGATAGATTTGCTTTGTAAAAAGCTTTTAATTAAGATACTCCCAAAATAAAACCACATAAATGCACAGTTTTTATTTATTTATTTATTTTTTATACTAAATTCTCAGAAGAAATAGCAAAAAAGGTCAAGATTCTGTTTGGCCCTAGTTATGAGGTAAAATCTGAAAGAAAAGAGAAACCGGTATGTAAATTAAAAATAATCACTTCATGGACTCAAGCAGTCAGGCAGGAACTAAAAGATAAACTTACGTAAAGTACGCCAGCACCTTTACTGAACAAATTCCAGTTTGTGCATTAAAAAAGGTTGGCTATAAGAGATTCTATGATGATGAAAATGTGTGTGAATGCACAAACCAGCAGGCTGAGCACGTCTAAAATGTTGTTTTGGTCATTCTAAAACACCTGGGGCCTGTTTCAGAAAGGAGGTTAAGTGAAAACTCAGAGTATTTTAACCCTGAAATGAGAGAAACTCTGGGTTTTCCGTTTCAAAACGGCAGGTTTGTTAAACTCGAGCAAGCAGGGTAAGTCAAGCCTGTTTCTGAAAGAGAGGTAACTTTAACTCAGAGTCAGTTACTGTGGTAACTTACTCTGTGAACCTAACCTGGTCAGAAACAGGTTTTATCCTCTAAACTCAGAGTTTCTGTTGGTCTCCTCCCCTTTTTTTAAAAACGAAGCGGTAATTCTAATTCTCTAAAACACTTTTATTGAACAAATTACTGTATGTACATTAAAAAAGGTCATCATTTGATGATGAAAATGTGTGTGAATGGACAAACCAGCAGGGTGAGCACACTGTAACACGTCTTAAATGTTGTTTTAGTCATTTTAAAATGCCTTAACTGATTCAGTATTAGTATATATTATTAATTACCTCCAAGCATCTGAAGCGTGTCAAGAGTCTCTGCGTCTCATGGCTTCAAACGCCCCCACGTGTTCACTGTATGTCAGCATTGTCTTCTGAGGCGCAAGTACTTTTATTAAATAAAGAAATAAGTGACGCAGCTTCTTTTACCACAGTAAATTCTGTTTTAACTGTTGACATTTGGGATTTTGTTCTCTTTGACTCGTTGGATGGAAACGCTGCTTTATTAGCATTTTTTTACAATATTCCAGTTTGCACATAAATTTGTGTAATATATTTGGATGAAAACATAGACATTGCCTACCTTTTAGTCACACACAGAACAATAAATAATTATCTTAAATTCACTGACCTTCGACATGTACTATATATATATGTACTATATCAACCTCTTTCACTTGATCAGTAAAAAGGCAGACACAAGTGCACTGTTAAATCTATTAAAACTGATAAACGTGTATAAAAGTTTAGAAAAAAATTATAAACATCACACATTACATTACTTATTTTACTATACTTAAATATTTAAATATTTTAAATGTAAAATTTCGCATTTACCTGAGCAGCTGTTTTCCCAGGCTAACTGTCTCTGTTTCACTGATGGTTGCTTCTTTTTAAATAAATATGCTCATATTTGCTATAACTTTGCATGAGTACATCAAATTCAGCTGGAGAAAGAAATGGTGATCTCTTTTTTTTTAAATGTTGCCTTGGTCACTCGTAATATCTGCGCTCCATTAATAATGCCTTTTTATAGTCACGGTGTGCGCGCTTAACTCTGAGTTGGTCTACTCAAAGTTGATTGACCCAGCTCAGATCAGCTGTTCTGAAACCGAAAACTCTAGAGTTTTTAATCTCTCGGTAAATCAACTCAGAGTTCTAGTTTAAACTCCGAGTTGTTTGAACCTCCTTACTGAAACAGGCCCCTGAACCATTTCAGTATTTATGTCATTATATTATTAATGATCTCCAGAGCGTCTGGAGTGTGTCAAGAGTGTCTGTTCTCTGCATCTCATGGCTTCAAACGCCACCACATGTTCATTGTCCTCTGAGGGGAAAGTCATTATTAAATAAGCAAAAGATTCATGTAACTATTTCTACCGTAATAAATTCTGTTTTTACTGTTGATACTTGGAACCAGTTAATCAGGATGTGACGATTTTGTTCTCTTTGATTCATTGGATGGAAACGCTGATTTATTTGTGTATTTTTCATACAATATTCCAGTTTTGCAAATAAATTTAGTTCTCATTTTTGGATGGAAACACAGCTATTACCAACATTTCAGTCTCACAAAGAACAGTACGTCACGTATGCGAATGGCTTGGCCTTTAATGAATAATTAGCTTAAAATTACAGTCCTTCGACAGGGACATGTACTGTATCTATGAAAGCCCGCTCACAATCTTCGGTCCATGGAATCGGATTCTTTATGGCTTTAAAGAGAGGTTATCAGTATCAGGTAGACTGGAAAGGTTATGGTCCACAGGAAAGATGTTGGATTCCGGCTCTGGATATTCTGGACTGCTCTCTCATTGATCAGTTTCATTAGTTCCATAGTGAGTCTTAAGGGAATGCCAGGGGCCGTTCTTGAGAGAGGGGGTACTGTCACCGTACCTCACACTTTTGCTCTCTTCTCCTGTTCTGGGTTACAGATTATCTCATGTCATCTGCTTTTATTTGCAGTCACAGAAGCTCTCGTTTCCCTTTTTTCCTGTTTATACCACATCATTCCCTTCATGTTTGTCAGTATGTTATTGATAATTTGTGTGCATATTATTTTGTTACTCACCCTGTATTTGTGTCCAGGACCGCTAGTGAGTGAGTGTCTGGTTGTTTTTTCCCATGAAACTTTATCAGCGCTCACCCGACCGGGTGTTTACTTTGATTTTTGCTTTTTCCGGTTCTCACTCCTTAATAAGCCCTTGTTGTTTTTCTGCATTTGATTGTTTTTTTTTTTTTTTTTTTTTTTTACTTATGACACAAGAAATTTTTTTCTCATTTGTGTTTACATGTCTTTAGATTTTGGCATGATGTCTAGCTTTTGAGGCTCTTTTGGTCTACTTCAGACAGGTCCTATTTAGGTAATTTCTTGATTGAGAACGTGTGGTAGTTATCAGGTCTGGGTGTGGCTAGAGAACTTGAACCCGGTGTGATAAATAAAGTTATGTTTAATGGGGAAAAACATTCTCACACAAGTCTGTGTAGTTCAGTGTTTTGTCTTCCTTTTAAGAATAAAATTCTTCATTTAAAAACTGCACAATGCATTTAGTTATGTTATCTTTGTCTAATATTTACATTTGTTTGATGATCTGAAACAGTTAAGTGTTAGTATTCTGCATTGCATTTGTTACATGCAGATTACTAAACCAGAGAACATTTGTCATCTAAAGGTGCAGGTTTAAGGCTTTATGCAGATGTTATGCAGATATGTCTCATGTCTGTGGGGCAAATATTCTCAGAGATTCAGCTGCTTTTTTTCTGACAGGTTTACCAGTCAGGCACAGAATGAAAAAGCATTCCCTATCTGCTTTACAAGTTTTTCAAAAACATGTTGTTTTGTGTGATTACGAATATATACAAATAGAAACTGGCCATTTACAGCTTTCTAATTTATGTCTCATCAATATGACCAAAATGCTCTGGGATTAATCATATAAGTATCCGCTTAAATGTGTTTGTGTGTAATGGACACTAGGAGGTTAATATGACAAGATCAATCTAAATATGATCTGCTGTTTTTACATTTAATGTGCATCAAAATTAAAGTTTTCACTTCCTTTTCACTGAGAGTTTTAATGATTTACTAAAAGCTGAACTTTTTTTTTATTATTTCAGACCTAGTTAAAGAGTATGAGAGGAGTAAAGAGGAGGAACATCATGTCAAAATTGAAGACAAAACTCATTTAGAGACTGATGATATTTTAAAAATGAGAGACAAGCGTTGTTTTACCTGCAATCAGTGTGGGAAGAGTTTGGCAAACAAAAGCAAACTAAAGATCCACATGAGGATCCACAATAGGGAGAAACTATTCACATGCACTCAGTGTGGGAAGAATTTCAACCAATCATCAAACCTTAATCAACACATGAGGATCCACACTGGAGAGAAACCATTCACATGTACTCAGTGTGGGAAGAGTTTCAGCCAATCATCAAACCTTAACCTACACATGAGGATCCACACTGGAGAGAAACCATTCACATGCAGTCAGTGTGGGAAGAGTTTCAGCCAATCATCATCCCTTAATCTACACATGAGGATACACACTGGAGAGAAACCATTCACATGTACTCAGTGTGGTAAGAGTTTCAGCCAATCATCAATCCTTAATATACACATGAGGAACCACACTGGAGAGAAACCATTCACATGCCTTCAGTGTGGGAAGAGTTTTAGCCAATCAACATACCTTAATCAACACATGAGGATCCACACTGGGGAGAACCTATTCACATGCACCCAGTGTGGGAAGAGTTTTAGCAACTCAGCAAACCTTAATCTACACATGAGGATTCACACTGGAGAGAAACCATTCACATGTACTCAGTGTGGGAAGAGTTTCAGCCAATCATCAAACCTTAATATACACATGAGGATTCACACTGGAGAGAAACCATTCACATGCAGTCAGTGTGGGAAGAGTTTCAGCCAATCACCATACCTTAATCATCACATGAGGATCCACACTGGAGAGAAACCATTCACATGCAGTCAGTGTGGGAAGAGTTTCAGCAAATCATCAAACCTTAATATACACATGAGGATCCACACTGGAGAGAAACCATTCACATGTACTCAGTGTGGTACGAGTTTCAGCCAATCATCAAACCTTAATATACACATGAGGAACCACACTGGAGAGAAACCATTCACATGCCTTCAGTGTGGGAAGAGCTTTAGCCGATCAACATCCCTTAATCGACACATGATGATCCACACTGGAGAGAAAGCGTTTATGTGCTTGAAGTGTGAGAATACTTTTATTACAGCTGCAGAATTGAAACGCCACCAGAGGGTTCACACTGGAGAAAAACCGTACAAGTGTTCACAGTGCAGTAAGAGGTTTGCTCGCTCAGGAACCCTGAAAACACATGAGAGGATTCACACTGGAGAGAAACTGTAGACATGATCAGTGTGTACAAAGTTTCACTTAATCAGGGCAGCTTAAGAAACACATGGGATGGTTTTTGGTAAGGCGCCGACACATGTAGCAGCATAGAAAGAGCGCTTCCATACACACTGGTATTAATCCTCCTTTTTACATCATATATAATAACCTAAACCATATTTAAATGACATGAAGGAGGGACAAAAACAAAAAGGCTAGGACAAAACAACCAGTTAATCCTGAAAAAAATGAGAAATCAACAGATGAAAAATCCAAGACGGACGGGATAGCTGATAGCCTGTCACCTATCATTGCAGCAATATTTACAGACATCAAAGTTTTCCAGAAGAATATTAAATCTGATTTAACCGCCTTCCAAGATTCTCTCGCAAAAGATGTGAAAATGGAATTAAGTAACTGTAAACAAGAAGTCAATCAACAACTGGATGACCTTATCACGGACCTAAATGCAACGACAGAAAAGGTCAACGAAGTGGAGAAGCGAGTTGGAGAATTTTGGAGGAGAACATTGCTGAGATGAAAGAAATGCTCAATCAATCCATTCAAATACAAGAAAATTTAAAAGAGAAACTGCGAGATCTAGAAACACGCTCCCGTAGAAATAATAATCAAATTTTTGGAATCCCGGAAGGAAGCATTCTGAATGAAAAGGGAATTAAGTTCTAAACACCACCGCCGGCAAGACTTAAAATCTTTTTGGTAAACGGGCCGATCATGTACAATTCAATGACGGAGGCATCAAGAGATCTGAAAGAAAAAGGACTGATAAACAGCGAATAAGAAACTATTATAGGAATCCCTGGGAAAGAGAAACAAAGACCTTGGGAAAAGGTTGGAGTGACATGGAAGAAAAGTAAGGAAAAACATCAAGCGAAGATCCGGGAAAAACTATGTGAATTTCAAAGGGACAACACTAGCTTTGTTTGAAAGGGTAAAACCTGACAGATCCTAACAAAAAACTCTAAGAGACTGGTAAATCTTCTTGACTTGATTCACCGATAATGGACCAAGGTTATAATAGTTTTGGATTTTTCATTAGTTTTAGTTTCTATTTCGTTTTGACTTTTTATTTTAATTTTTTTTATAATGTATTTATTAATTTTTAAGCAATACAGATCAGAGGTGGGACCAAGTCATTGTTTGGCAAGTCACAAGTAAGTCTCAAGTCATTGCCCTCAAGTCCCGAGTCAAGTCCCGAGTCAAGACAGGCAAGTCCCGAGTCAAGTCCCAAGTCAAAGGCAACAAGTCTCAAGTCAAGTCCAAAGTCCTATAGTTTGATTTTCGAGTCTTTTTAATGTATGGCTGTAATATCTGAATTTATTAAACAAACCTTTTTTTAATGAAAGAACATTGCTTAGATATATAAAGATACAAATGTAATTTTCTGAAAAAGTGCTAAACAGTGCTGCGTCTCGTCTACACAGCCTATTGCACAAGAATGAGTTCCACCAAAAAAAGAGTCCATTTTGCCTCACATCACACAGAAATTGCAGGTCTACTGCTGTCTAGTTCATTAAGTTTAGTTGTGCTATGTTATGTCTTCAGTGATCAACTTGTGATTAACTAAAACTATATAAACAACCTCAATGAGGCAGCAGTAGACCAACAACTCCTGTATGCTGCAAAGTAAAATTGAGTGAAATTGGTATTTTGTCAATTGAATCTCGTGTGTGCTAAAGAGATGGAGATGCAAATCTGTCTAGCAGCAATGTAAAATGGTAGCACATATTCTAATTGAAGTAGGCTACTTCATACAAACAATAACGTTGTTTTCTTCACATAACAATGAAGAACTTTGCTCTCTACCTTGTGTGATACGCTGCTCACGCGCAAATTTTCTCGCTCTCAAATATACACTGCTCACACGCACATTTTCCTGCGCGCTCTCAGAGATTATATACAGAATTTGTGTCTTGTGTTTCCTCTTCCTTTTGTGCTTTTTGATATGATTTATATTGAGGCACTATTTATTAACAATAACCAAAATACTAAAATAGACTTATTAAATTTTTTATCTAATAAACCATAACATTTTGGCTGTATGTTATATGATGAGATATTTCCAGTTTTTAAACACTTAAAGACACAGAGAATAGATGTTGGATGTAAAGAATGCATTTTGTTTTACAAACATTTATTAAACATCCAAAAGGTTCACCATACTAATCAAATAAAAAACATTTAAACAAAAATATAACTAACGCAAGCAGAAATGTAACTGTGATAAAAATAAGGAAAAACTTGATTAGGTATTATAGCCTACTGTATTATTCACTCTTTAAATAAATCTCACTATCAATCCCATTTTATCATGGCAACTAAAATAAAGTGAACACGTCTCTGCTGTCTTCCACATTATTGATGAGATTGTGGAGAACATTTTCCATGTCATCCTCTTCATTTTGAGGAAAAGCTGTTCCACAGGGCCCCTGAACACATCTATTGGCATGGACAGGGTTTTGAACAGTACTATAGTAAAGTACTTTAATTAATCTGTTGGGGTAATATTATAGTTGCTATGGTAACACAAGTGTAATATAAACAAATGACCCAGTGCTGTAGTTTTTTACAATAAAGGGTATATTATACTACAATTCACCACACTTTACTGTAGTAAAACTACACTCTGTATTTCATTTTATTAGTTCACTATTCTTAATACTACAGTATGCTGAAGCATTCATTAACAACTTGTAAATAATACTAGGCTTAAACATAGGCAGTATACCTAACTCTCAAAAACACTAGTATTTATTATAGAATTTACCTTAACCTCATAGTTTTTCGTGTATTGTTACTAAATAGTGTAGCAATATATAAACCATATCAACATTCTGTAATAATCAATTTATCAGGAGGATCTCTGGAGAGCAAAAGCAGGAAAGGTATGAAGCGCCAGTGTGGACAAAACTCTAGCAAACGCAGAGAGACTGAATACGCGCGTGAGAGACCAGCAAATCAGATTGAAGTACCTGCCCACTGGTGAAAGTAATGTCAGAGCCAATCAGATTTTTCTTTCTTTTCATAAAGAACGGGGTTCGAATCCCACTTAGGCACTTGTAAACAATCATTTTAGAACATTTTGTCAAAAATCCCTACTGAAAAAACAGCTTAAACCAGCCTAGGCTGGTTGGCTGGTTTTAGAGGGGTTTTGGCCATTTCCAGGCTGGACATGGCTGGAAACCAGCCTGGAAATGACCAAAACCCCTCTAAAACCCGCCTGGTCGACCAGCTAAAACCAGCTTACCAGCCTAGGCTGGTTGTAGCTGGATTTTTCTGCTGGGATATTGTTATGTTTAACCATTTATTAGAGCCACAAAGTATCTAAAACTTGTTTTCATGTTTGAATAGCCAATAAATGTGCTAAATAAATTAAAATAGAAATACCCACAGTGAAACAGTTATATAAATTTAAATATTAGTTTAAATACATTCATAGTGGTTTTAAATATCTTTTAATATGTAAAGTAGAGAAGTTCACATTCAACAAACTGAATAAAACAAGTCTTCGTTTTTAGTTTATTTAAAAACAATTACAAATGGAGTAATTCAACTCACAATTAAATGATCTCATTGAGTGATGGAATAATAAAGGTAAAACTTTAATTGAATGATCAGTCAAGTGTTTTCCTAAATGAAATCTGTTAAAATAAGAGTCCTACAAAACAGGAACAAAGACACTCATGAAACAAAATGTGATTGTTAATTGTATTTTTTATTAGATGGTTGGTTTTAAGTACTTTAAAAATAGTAGATAATCCTTAAATATAGAGGGGGAAATACAGAAAAACAAACAAACAGAAATTCAACAATATAGATGCATTACATTACAATCTCACAATAAAATTTTTATAAAAAACCATATAGAGGACTAAAATATTGCTAAGAGGCATAACATCAACAATAATAAAAATACCTTTAAGGTTTTAAATACTAAATAAAATTAATAGTATTAATCCAAAATATGAAAAATGTAACACTTTACAATAAGGTTGTATTAATTTATTAAGTTTATGTATGTACTAATGTGAACAAACAATGCAGTGCAGTTCATTACAGTATTCATTATTTTATGCTTTCATTAATGGAAATAAAATTATTGGTTAATTCTTGTTAAATCACAGTGCATTAACATTAATGTTAACAAGCATAACTTTAAATTGTAATAATGCAATAGTAAATGTTAAACTATAATTAATAAAGGTTTAGAAGTATAGTTCATTATTAGTTCATGTTAGTACATAGATTAACTAAAGAAACCTTATTGCAAAATGTCACCAGAAAATAACAAAACACTTTTTTCACAGTTTTAAGAGCTTTAAAAATAAATTATATATCTAGTTATTATGGCATGCAATTAATGTTACTACTAATTAAATAGTTAGAAAATACTGTCAGAGGATGGGCAAAACACAAAAATAAAACATAATATGCGCATTGACACAAACGACCAAGTGCAAAAACATAAATTACAGCCATGTTCATTCATAATTATTTTTGAAGTGTTTCAGTCAGGTTTCAGGGCTCACCACAGTACAGAAACCGCCTTAGTGAAAATAACCAACGATTTACTCTTAGCTGCTGACCGAGGGTGCGTCTCGCTATTAGTTTTACTCGATCTTAGTGCGGCATTTGATACCATTGACCACAATATCCTCATAAATCGCTTAAAGTCTACAGGTGTCCAGGGACAGGCTCTACAATGGTTTAAGTCATACTTAACTGACCGCTACCAGTTTGTGAATATTAATGGACAGCCTTCACAAATCTGCCCAGTAAAGTATGGGGTGCCTCAAGGATCAGTTTTAGGCCCTTTACTGTTTACAATTTACATGCTACCTATGGGAGACATTATTAGAAGACATGGGATCAGCTTTCACTGCTATGCAGATGATACTCAATTATATATTTCCACTAAACCTGACGAGACGTCTGAACTTTCTAAACTAACTGAGTGTATCAAAGACATCAAAGACTGGATGACCAACAATTTTCTTCTCTTAAACTCAGACAAAACAGAATTATTACTTATTGGGCCTAAATCTTGCACACAGCAGATCTCGCAACTCAATTTACAATTAGAGGGATACAAAGTTAGCTTTAGCTCTACTATAAAAGATCTGGGTGTCATATTAGACAGCAATCTAACTTTTAAAAACCATATATCCCATGTCACAAAAACTGCCTTCTTTCATCTGAGAAATATCGCTAAATTACGAAATATGCTATCCATCTCAGATGCAGAAAAGCTAGTCCATGCTTTTATGACTTCGAGACTGGATTACTGTAATGCTCTATTTGCTGGCTGCCCAGCATCCTCTATTAACAAACTTCAATTAGTACAAAATGCAGCAGCCAGAGTTCTGACCAGGTCTAGAAAATATGATCATATAACCCCAATTTTATCCTCCTTACACTGGCTGCCTGTTAAATTTCGTATTGAATTTAAAATATTACTTCTCACCTATAAAGCTCTAAATAATCTAGCTCCTGTTTATCTAACCAACCTTCTGTCTCGCTACGAACCAACTCGCTCCTTAAGATCTCAAAATTCAGGGCTTCTGGTAGTACCTAGAATAGCAAAATCAAGTAAAG